TTCTAGACGATAGGACCAAATTTTGAAAACAAAGTTGAAAATGTTCCTCTCTTAGATTTTATTTGAGTTTTGGCATACTTAAAAAATGAATTGTTTTACATTTAGTTGAGGTCAAGTGATAGACTGACTAGACTATAAAATGTTACAATTCTATGATAAAAAAAGTAGCTTTTTTAAAAACATTTGCACATTCATCATTGTGCTTAGCTGTCGAAACATCTTACAATATTTATTTGCTTTTCAATCTTTTTTATAACATTTGAAACAAAAAAGGGATATGTTTTGGATAGTGACCGATGAATATGGATAGTTTTGAAAAGGTCGATAAAACTGTTTAGTCTTTAAGGGAAAACAAACGGAAGAGACTTTTGCAAAATTTTGAATCATATTCAAATAACTCATTCGACTGTTTCATTTCACGTTTTACGAGGTCTTAAATTCCGGGAAAGCCCTCAAATTAATTTGAAACGCAGTAAACAAGTAATTAGCAAGCCACTTAATAAAGTTATAATTAATTGAAGTGAAAGCAGAACTTAAAGGTAATCCTATTTAGAAAGTGTGTAAACAGAGTTAAGAGGTATAATCCATAGACGCATAATTTACTTAAATAAAATCCACTCTTAACAGCAACGAACATATTATTAGTAAGAAAAGGCCTAGCATGGCTTTGTGGTTAGGGTACTCGACTCGTAATCTGCGGGTAGCGAGTTCAAATCCCATCACCAAACACGCTCGCGCTTTCAGCCTTGGGGGCGTTATAATGTTATGGTCAACCACACAATTCGACTTATAAATTAAGGACGGATAGCTTTGCGCGAAATTCAACAAACAAACAAATTAGTAAGAAAGAAGATACTGAGTGTTTAGATTATTAATATAATAGATAATTCAGTAAACAATATTGTTTTCATTTGTGAAAGAAAAATCATATTACATCTTTTACTAACTACGGTTTAATTTCAAACATATTAAAAGTTTCTGGTAACGAGGAGTACAAACACATTAACACCGACATAGAAAGTACCATACAAAAACACATAACACTTAAAGTTCATAATGTAATATTTAAAATATTTTGGATTCCCCAACTACACAAGTTACCCCACAAATACATGTTTATTGCCAGTGATTAAAAATTACGACTAAGGATTTGTCAATTCTTATAGGTAATGGTTTGAAATACGTTAAAGAACATTTAAATAAAAACTGTCACATTATAACGGAAAAAAAATATATTATTTGTTCATTATAACTATTAATTCCTTCGAATGTCTGTAGAAAATTAAAAACTTTAATTTCAAGTAATCTACGAAAAATAGACAGTCTTTCATAAATATGTAGGTTTTTCATGACAATGTTACTATAAGAATTACCATTGTTTCACATTAATCGAATTATTGCAGGTCATCTATTTTCTAGTTGACAACCTCTTTTTGCAATTTAGGCAACATGTCTTTCAACATATGCAAAAAATTCCAATGAGAGGTTACTTCAGAGATACATTTATATTTACTTGAACTTGAATTTTCTTAAATAACAAATTTTACTAATAAACACCGTTTTGTATATCAGTAGTGTATGTAGTAGACATATTGATAAAATTTCAAACCTAATTATTAAGGTTTTCTTGACACAGCCAAACAACGTATCCACCAGAAGTCACTTTTGTTAATACAAGTTTTTCACTAAAATCAAAATACACTACCTGGACTTAGATATCATCATTATTAATGACACATTAGAGTTTAGTGTTTCCAATCAAACAGACACCGGACCTTTAACTTTAAAATTGTAAACTCTCCGTTTCCGAATACATATATTCTAAATTAGTAATGTTATAATGTCTATTACTCGCAGCTTATTAAATACAATAGAATTTGTTCTATATTACAAGACGTGGACAGAGCTCGTAAACGCACCCGCAGTTTTTACAAATGAAGTATATGGGGTCGGAATAGTTGTATTAGACACACCTCATAGTATGTTTAGTATATTGTTTATCTCTTTATTTCATTTAACATAGTTGTTATATTTCAATCAGATTACCAATAATCTACCTATTTATTGTACGATTTAGGTATTCATTTAATATCCCATTTTTTATTGTTTTGTTTCATTTTAAACTTTACCGCCCAGTGACTTAGAGGTGAGTCTGAATACTTATAACGCTAAAAATCGGATTTAGACACCCACGGTGGGCATAAAACAGATAACCCATTGTGCAGCTTTGTGCTTAATAACAAACAATCACAAGCATTAATTTTGGGCTATGATATTGGTATTCTCCTTCTATTTAACTTTACAACTAAACCAGTGCTTGAAATTAGTCGGTACCCAAAGCCTTGCGTACTGACAGTTTTCATCATAGTCAGAAATATGTATTTAAGTGCGTAATTTTACTTTTATTTGTTCCCTCTTATTTCATTTTTATGTGTACCAGCACCTTTTTATCCATTTCAGTATTGAGCTAAACAATAACGTGGGTCGTAGTAATGTATTTCGGATGTCAGACTCCTCTAAAGTTACAGTGTTAGAACCCTTTAATATGTTTACATTGGTCACAAGACGTTTGGGAATATTGTGTACACATTTTTTTTTTATACACTGATGGTTTTTCAACGAACATTAAATATTCAACAGTATTTGAAACTATATTATAAATGTACTGGAAAGATATATATAGAATAACAGAATAAACATTTAGACTTACACAACCTCGAGTAATCGCCATTTATAATCTCAATCAGTCTCAAAACGTTTATATTTTACCTTGTCCTCAAATGGTGGTACCTTACGAGATTTATCCTGAGGTGACGTTTTGATATAAAAAATATTAATTTGATTATACAACTATCATAAAATACCGTTATTAAACATTTTTAACCTGCTGATATTAGTCCAGCTTGAACAAATCATGTCATCGAGAAGGTTTCAACTGCCATGTCTACGCGTTTTTCATGTTTACAAATTGACTCCAAATGAAATTTTTGTCATGTGACAGTTGCTGATTTTATCAGAAAGGATCCTTTCGTTAAAATAAAAGTTATAACGAACTTTGGTTAGATACAACTCACTTAAATAAAAAGAAAAAATAACTGATTAAAATGTTTTCACACCTGTCAAAGATTCCGAGACACGAGATTTACAATTTCTATTTAAAGTCGATGCCAGCAACTTTAAATCTGCGCTTACTGTTGTATTTCATCGTGAATGAAGACTATTTACAATTGTGGATGAACAAAACATTTTTGTGAAGGAATTGATTTGTTCGTGAGAAGCGATAGTTTTAAGAAGGCTACACATGTACCGGAAATTAGCATTTACACAAGGGCGCCGATCTGTACTCTAAGTTGGGGGTGTGGTGAAAGTTACAAATTAAATTTTAGCTTACATTAAGGTGGAAGGTGAACTTCCAACTAGCCGGTACCTATTATAATAAAGCCACAGATCGCAAGTCCCTCACTGCAATCTTCCCCTCAATAGCAGCTACCCCACATACTTGTAGAAAATACGTTACCCCATATAACTCCATACACGACGATAACCACACCCATTAATACTAATAGCAAGCAAGATATATACACATTTCTTTCTAGTAGTTTCAGGTTTTAGTATCTAAACATAACTCAAGACTGCATTTTTTCTGGGCACAGAACAGACAGAATTTGGTCCCGTTCAGTGAAAGTGGGTTTTCTAGAATTAATCCCCGCCCTCGACCAAAATTTACGGGGTATAATTTATCGATCCCAGCCACAGCAGTTGGATTTATAGGTCCCTACCCGGCCCTGTTAAGGTCCTTTTGTTGGAGTATTTTGTCGACGACTTATCTCTCCTCGGATCTTCTATGTTACATGATTAGTAAAATAATATATATCGACCAATTTGTTCATTATCCACTTCTTTACAGCTGCAAAACATTTCAAGCGAAATATCTGCAGAATTCCAAGCTATTGCGCATGACTCTGAGTAAAAAATACTCTTGTAACTATAAAGAGTATCATAATATTTGAATAGAAAGAAAACTTGCATATATTAAAGTTCTCAAATGTTTACGTATAAACTGGGTTGATCCATCACATGGATGTCAGTTTCAGAGTCACTAACAGTTTTATTGTTTCGGTCGATGATCCGGGGTTAGATTCCCCGTGATGGACAGAACTTTGATAGCCTTTTGTAAGGCTTTGAGCTAAAATAAAGCACAATCGGCCAGTGATTGCACATGGCAGTAGAAAATTAAATTAAGTAAGCTTATATGCCAATCGAACATCACGACACATACCTAAACCTTGGCAAGTATTTAAATGAAAAATCGTTTGGATCACAATTTTGTGATAAAAACCATCTGACATCCGGGGTGTTCGAAGACTATTCCTTCGCCTCGCACCACGAATAGCTGACTTGAACGGATTAGAGGGGCATTTATGTTCCGATGTTTTAGTTAATAAACACTGCAGTGAGAGATCGAGAGTGGTCGTGAGGTCACGTTCGGAAGAGGAATGGAGAAATGATACTTATTATAACTGAATTAAATAATAAAATAAATTATAATACGCTTCCAAAAATGAATTGCATCATGTTATTTGTCACATTTTCACAATATCTAGTGGGAGAATTCCTTTCTTTTGAGGGGGGGGGGGTCAAATAATCCAAAAACGTATTGTGAAGCAAGCATTACGTTTTGTTCTAGTTTAAGCTAGCAAATATCTATATCAATTTAAATACCCTTTACGACTCTATGACGTCACTGAAACACTATAAACATGCAAGTATTCACTCTTTAGGTTACACTCGTACTTCTTTACTTGTGTCCCATCAACTCATAAGCGCCAAGCTCTATTTACGTCATTTGAGGACATAGTACACAGGACATGAACGTGAAATATCAACACAGTGTATTAAACGTTTCCGATTCTTGTGTTCTTATAAAAAAAATCTGTTATCCTGCGATTTGCTGTTATTGTGAAACACTGATATATATATATATTGTGCGGTAATTATAGGAACACGGCAAGAAACTGTGGATTTACAGCCTGGAAATTTTTAATCACCTAGAAAGATTCGTATGTTGGGTATGTACCTCCCGTATTTTTATTTCTCTTCGTCTAGTAAACAGTAGCTAGTGTCTGCTTTTCTGAGAAGTGTAACAGTATGTTTCTTATTGATTTGTTTGTGGTAAAGAAAATTATATATATATTTTAAACATGATATAACTGACACAAAGCTAGCTGAGAAACACAAATACCCACTCTGTCTGTTTGTCCTTTATCTAACGACTATGCTGTATAAAATTGTGATTAGGTTTTTGGGAGCCAAAGAACAGCCTAAACAATACTCTATCAATTATTAAGTAAACATCACTTTAATTTCACAGACCTACGTGTTTTGAGGAGAAATTTTTTTTATATCATAAACAAGCTTAAATTCAATGTTTATACACGTACTAACGCAGGGGGTGGGGGGTTCGACTAAACCCCTATTATTGTGGTGTAAGAAATTATGCTTATATAGTTACAGCGCAGCTGCTTATGGTATTTAACGTTTTCTACATAGTCTAGATTCTTCTAATGAAGCATTAGCATTTTTTGGCTTGAAATAATCGCATGCAATGGCTCTGTTAACATTTTGTAAATGAGAGCCGTATTACTACTGTCAGGTTTTGTAGGACAGATTTTTTACAGTAGGTGTCTGTGACATGTTGACGATAAATTTCAACAATAAAAAAAACAGCAACACAGCCCACTGTTTTAGAATAATATATTAAAACAAGTCAAACGTAAATATAAATGTTCGTTACACTATTTGTCAGGTTTTTATATATGGATGGTCAGGATTCTTTACACTAGGTATCTGACTTGTTGGCTATAAATTTCAACAATAAACAAACAGCACACAGTCCACTTGTTCGTTACACAGTTAATTACCACATTTGACTCCAGAGCTTTATATAATTATCTTTTTTCGTTCAAAGCCCACACAGGATGATTCAATTACTTGAGAACACAGTCTGTGATAATTTCCCTTTAAAAATTGCTACTATATGCTCTTTATGGCTAAACTAACAACCACTCAGTCTAGATCTATCTTTAACTCTTTTTCTTTTCCTGTTACTTAACTTCCTATCACATTTTGTACTTGTATTAGTAAATAGCCCAACAGAGGCTTAGAACTTTCTACACACCACTGGATATATGATGCAACAATACTTACTTAAAACAACGAGAAATTTTAGAAGGTTTGAGTAACATGACGTCAATTCACAACAATTGAACTACACAACAAATGTTTCATAAACAGTTACATAAGCAAACTTACCCTAACTATCACTTCTAAAAATAACTTACTTTATCATTTGCACTATATAAACTAAATTATACTCTCGCATTAAGCTTAAAATGAACAGTCGTGCATATTTA